GATTATTTTACAGGTCGTTATAACTACGCCGCCGCGTTACAACTTCGTTCCCGCGTGCGTATCTGCGCCTGTACGTTCTACATAATATATATGCTCATCGTGCCTTTTGCGCAACGCGAAAATCTAATTCGTCGCTGCTCGGCGTCAGTTAATAATTATATATGCGCATGTGTATGTGACAAGTGCCACGTGCAGCGTCTGATTGCAAATCGCGTTGTATCATATAGGCTGTTTTCAGAGACCGTCACTAATCGCTTCGCACGAACAGCTGATTTGCCTGTAGGCATAACAAACCGAGCTTCCATTCACTTTATATGTTAAGTCGATTAGTTTGACTGCAAATTACAAATAAATGAGATGCTCTAAAAATATATAAAAAATATGTCTATGTAGAGGAAGACTTCATCTTTTCATCTATCGAAGCGGAATTTACGATTTCTCTTTAGTTATTACAAAAAAAAATTGTTGAAATTTCGGTTATTTCGGAGTTTTACTCGCTGCTCGGCTGCTGTCAACACCGAGTTGCGCGTGTCCGTGATCGTTTTAGCGATATTTGAGATTTGATTTCGTTTTTTTTTTATCAATCTGCAATCATAAAATAATAAATGGTGTTGAGGTGTTATGTAACAGGATGCAAAGCAAATTCCCAAAATGGAAAGTTTTCCTTCTTTTGTATACCAACAGGAAAGCCGAAAAATAATAGAAATTCTGAAGAATTAAGGGAACTGAGTCAAAAAAGGCAATATACTCATGCTTTAATATTTAAATGTATTTTCAAATATCGCTAAAACAATCACGGACACGCGCAAGTCAGTGTTGACAGCAGCTCAGTAGCGAGTTCGACTCTGAAATGACCGAAATTTCAACAATTTTTTTTGCAATAACTAAAGAGAAATCGTAAAATCCGCTTCGATAGATGAAAAGATGAAGTCTTCCTCTACATCGACATATTTTTTATATATTTTTAGAGCATCTCATTTATTTGTAATTTGCAGTCAAACTAATCGACTTAACATATAAAGTATATGGAAACTCGGTTTGTTGTGCCTACAGGCAAATCAGCTGTTCAATCCTGACCGTCAGTAACGCTTTGTGAAAACGCCCTATACATTATATACGCTGCTTAGTTATATAGGATAGAGAAAATATGTAACGCGAATCGCGCGCGCAGCTGACACTTTAATGAAACGAGAAATGGACATTTATATCAAACAAGAACAAGCACAATTTGAAGATTTGAGTAGTTTTGAAGAAAAAATTACAGAACTGCAATATGAAATAGACGATGATATTGATTCGGATTCAAATTCAGCGAGATTGAATTATCATTTGATAGAATTGAATTCAGCTTCTCTGAGAAATAATCCACAAGACGTTTTTGATTGGTTCAAACGAGTAGAACTGTTTGAACTGTTTGATCCTGAGAAAGCTTTTGGAGAATTACCTAGTTTGTGGGTGGCGAAAAAACTTGTGAAAAATACCGTGGTGAATTTTTCAAAGTAAGGTCCCTGCTTGTACATTTAGAAGAAAATTGTGGAACCTTTGAAACTTGTAAAGCAGCGTATGAAGGTTACCATGCAATTATAAATATAATGTCCCACGACAAATGTATAATTCCCGTATAAAAAATGTATAATCTTCGTTATTGTGTACGGGTTTCTCGAAAATTAAGACAAATCCATCTGGCGGTTGGTTGCGGTACTTTCTTTACTCGTTAGTTTAGGCGAATTGATTTCATAGAGGGAGCTGTGTGAATTTACCTACTTTGTTTCTTAGATACCATTTGAATTTTCTCATTATTTTTATTAAATCTAATTACAAACGAGCTTGACAATCGAATTTTTCGTCGAACCGTCTTCGTATGACCAAGTTCTCATTAAAGTTAATGACACAAAATGAGTCGTTACTTATATATACAGCTATTATTTCGCGTAGCCATGTGCAGCTGCAACGCGATAAAAAGAGCGAGAGAAACGACACTAGTGCTGATTTAGGTGTTACAATATATACCTACATCTTTCTACGCACCGAGCATATTACGAACCTCCACACGGGTTTGATTTACACCCGCGAAAAATCTGCGCTTGCACTCCCAGCATCGCATCGTCGTCCCGTGTATATCGTATAAAATATTTTGTTTACGGGCGTATCAAATGCGACACGGATTTTTTTTTTGCTCTTTATCGTACTCCGCGGTAACTCTATACATATTATACCGCTAAGCTAAGATGCTTCAGCTGTTACGTATTATGGTATATACAAAAATGTGCAAGCGTTTGCAAATCCCGCGAGTGTCATTGCCCTCTCCATCTCTCTCTTTATCATCAAGCTTCTTCTATTATCCTCGTCTCTCTCGAGACGCGTTATAATAATAATAATACATAAATTTTCTATTACGGGCCCGTAAAAGCTGCGTCGTTGCGTTACAAGCACACGCGCTTTATATAGGGTAAGCGCGCAGCTGAAAGATGTTTTCCCGATCCATATACCTTCCTCTTTCCCTTCCTTCTCCTTATTCTCCGTTTTTTATCGGAGCTTTTTCTCTGAAAAGCTCTACGCAGACTCGAGCTTTTTTGGCTTACAATCGCGCACTCTCTATTGGCAGAGCTGTGGCCGGTCGAGCAGCAAGCTTCTCTATATAAATTTAATATATTCATCGACTTTGGGATCGCCGCGCGCGTGCGATATTAATACACACAGGGTATGCATTATGCACCTGGTACGAGCTCTTTCAATACATACGCGGCTCAAAAATATCCGAAAGTCCTTTTCAAAGCCTCTGCGCGCCCATGTCCCATTACTGCCGATGCTGGGAGCTATGTACAGCTGTTGCTACGTCCGTTTTTTTTTTTTTTTTTTTTTTTTNTTTTTTTTTTTTTTTTTTTTTGCTTCCTTACCCTCGCGTCGACGCGACGCTGCACTCGTAATCAAGAACATCTCTCTCTCTCTCGCTCTTGCCGCTCTCTGTCTACGTATACATACATACTCGTGTCTGCCGCTCGTTGCAGCTCTTCTGCCTCTTCTTTTACTGTACTACTATGCTACGCTATATATACACCTCGCAGTCACTCTCTCTCTTCTACTCTTATATATATGTGTGTGTGTGTATTATATACAGCCCATAGCCGGCGTATACACGTAAAACCGGAAGCATCGCAGACCCTCCGTCGTTTTCCCTTTCTAAGACCTTCGCGTGCAGTTGCTCGTGTATGTGTGTCTATATGTATGTGTGTGTACGCGCCTACCGCTAGAACGACTACTACTACCGCCTTTCGTCACTCGTGTTATACACACGTGCATAGCTGCGTATATGGAGTCTATAAAATCCCCCCGCGTGCGCGATGCAAGTTTAAAAAAAAAAAGCAAAAGCAAAAGCAAAAGGGAGCTTTTTTCGCGAGAACTACAGCGACGATCGCGTCTCATCAGAGAGGGTACGTGTACTATACAGAGAGGAAAGTCAGCTCTTTTTTCCCCTCTTTCTCTCTCTCTCTCTCTCTCTCGTTTTGCGAGCTCGCTAGACTGCTGCTGCGATGATGATAATACGTCATCGTCGTCGTCGACGTCGTCTTTCAACGCTACGCTACTATACTCCCCCTTTCGACTTCGCGTATATATATACCAACTATATACACATAGAGCTTAAGTAAGGGATGGGGTTAAGGTTGTGCGCGCAGAGGCAGGTAGTTACGAGAAAGAAAGAAAGCGAGAGGCTTATAATGTATATGCTATATACAAAGCCCCGTGTGGTGCGCGCGACTCGGTAACCTTGGATCGAGATATAGTTTTTGAGTTTTTAATTAGCCGCAGCGCACCGGTGGCGCCGCCGCCACCGCCGCCGTCGCTGCTGAATATAACGCACACGTGTATAATAATCAATTTTTTAAAACGACCTCCGACGCGATACACGATCCTTTTATGTTTTCATGCCTTTTTATCGTCGTGTATCGTATAATACACACAACACACGCGTATACATCGGCGCAGTCGGATGAATTCGATTGCTGCTGCTGCTGCTGCTGGTGACGGCGGTGGTAGTGGTGGGGGGGGGGGCTCAGGTTGTTGCACCCTATATACACACGTACATCCGTACATATATGCATGTGCGCGACGAGGCTATAAGTGCACCGCACTCGCAGGATGTACGTGGGCGCTACGCGTATACACACGCGCGATGCACCGCCAGGAGGGGAAGGGGCGCCCCGACAACGACGGGCGATGACGATGACGCGAGACAGACACAAAGCTCTTTTCGCTCCTGTTTATATACCATCGCGTACACGTGTATTTGTGCGTGTGCGTTAGACGAGAGACCCATCGCGTATACATGTAGAGTGTAAAACTACGCGAGAGCGAAAGAGAGAAAGATGCGAAAGACGACGAGAGAGAGAGTGTGAGAGATGATGCTAATACCATGTTTACTATATTTACATGACGAATGGATTAAAAAAAGGAGATAAGTTGCTGCTGCTGGTGTCTCTGTGTCGTTTTCCTTACTTCGTTGTCTTTTCCTTTATTTTATAATAATTAATTGCAAGTTTGGAATATGGGCGTGTGCAATACGAGCCTGGTGCGTGTAATCGAGCCGAAATGTGTGTGAAATTGATGCGAAATAAGCCGCGTTTGACTTATACTGTAATTATTACTTTGCCACTTGCAGATTTACGGAATTAAGGCACTCGCCATCTAGTGGTAAGGCCTTCAAGTGTTATCGTCGTATACGAAGTGGTTAAAAACTGGTCTAAATTTTTTAGAAAATGATGAAATTGTAATAGTGCAGTAATTTATTTTAAAGCAATTGAAACTGTAATTTTTCGGTCATTGATGGTGTCTCTGTGTCGGGATGCGCACAACGCCATTTCGCCAAAGCTCCATTTCGTAAACAAAATTACTCAAGAATTGTTTATAACGATGCGGGCTTGTATCGAAACAGATCGCGCGGTGGGAAGGACCTACTCGAACGTAAATATTTTCAATCTCGTCCCGCTCGCGGTATACACAGTCTCAACGCGATCGTGTCGTAAAAGCCCGAAGTCACAACTGTATATACACAGTCGCGAGGAAAAATCGTGTCCGTCCGTGCGTGCGTGCGTGCCCCCCGTTGAAAAATGGTGATTAAAACAAGTTTGATACTGCTCTACAAGGCGATACTGGCACTGAGCAGCTCGAAGGTGGACGTGTTCGGGCTCGGCGATCACGGTGATCTGCCGGCCGTGCTGAGGTCGCTGAGCAACCACGAGCTCAACTCGATGCTGATCCTGGCCTGCCAGGAGGGCCACGAGTTCGTCGTCGGCTTCATCCAGGTCTGCCGTATCAAGATACGCGGCTTGCCGAGGGCGTGTCGCACGGCGATCCACGAGGCGGCCAAGTCGCGCCAGGTCCAGATCTTCAACAGGCTCTGCCACATCTACGACGCGCGGGTGAATCATCGGGAGACCCAGGGCGACTTCACGCACCTGCGGGCGGCCTGCAGGATGGGCCACGTGGGCCTGGTCGAGCAGCTGCTCGGCACCGGCCGCGACAAGTACCGGGAGGATCTGAGCCACGTGCTGTCGAGCGTCACCATCGGGCCGGCGCCCCAGCAGCTCGATACCCGGGTGCTGGATCTGCTGCTGTGCCACGGCGCTCGAGCGGATGTGGCCGACGGCGCGGGCGCCACGCTGTTGGCGCGCCTCTGCCGCCAGTTGGCCACGAATCTGAACGTGGCCCAGGACGACAAGGTCGACGATCATCTCGAGATGATCCGCCTGCTGCTGAGGCACGGGGCCGACGCGAACGCCATCGATCGGCACGGCGTGTCCCCCGCGCAGCAGCTCTATCGCTACGGCATCATGGCGCCGGAGCTGCAGCTCGGGGCGCTCCGCCTACTACTCGAGGCCGGGGCGGACACGCGACACCGCGACAATCGACGGGAGACGCTGGTCCATTACGCGCTGCGTAGACATCATCTGCGCCGCCTGCACGGCCCCGTGTTCGATCCACCGAGGCACACCTGGAACGTGCAGCAGGTGCTGCGGATGCTCGTCATGGGCGAGCACAGCGCCGAGCTGCTCGAGGCCTGCAACGAGGAGGGCCACACGCCCCTCGGTCTCGCCGTGTCCCACTGCGACCTGGACGCCGTGGAGACGCTGCTCGAGTTGGGCGCCGATCCGCGCCGGGTGAGCTTCGAGGGCAACTTTTTGGAGCCGATCAACGAGATTCTGAGGAATTTGGAGCTGGCCCAGAATCTGCTGGCGATAATCGAGCTGCTGAAGGCGAAGGGATTCGTGATGAAGGAGAGGCACGAGGCCAGGGTGTTGAAGTTCCTGCTGGGATTCGAGACGACGCGGCCATACTTCGACACGGCCTACGTCATAGCTTTAGGTATGAAACGTCGTGTTTGAAATACGGCGATGATTAATGATGATAAAAGGAATGATTTTTCGTATACAGCGTCGAACGCGACGACGATAAAGAACCACTGCGCAATGGCCAAGAGGCGCGGCAACTCGGTGCTCCGCGCCATCGGCAATCATCTGAGAATCGTCCATCTCGGCAATATGTACATAAGCCAGGGCGTCAAGAAGTGCCTGCTCAACATGTCGCTGGGCGCGAACAAGAAGGATGATAATTCGAGCGCCGTGGAAGAGGAGAAGACGAAGACGACGAGCAAGCTGCCGAAGTCGAGGAATAATCGTCCGTGCGGCCGAATCCACGCCGAGGCGCAGATCCTCGAGGAGTTGGCGCGAGCGCGCGGAACGATGATCAAGGAGTCGGTGTCGCTGCTGGACGTATGCACCTGTCCGCCCGATGAGGCCTACCGGCTGCTGGAGAACTCGTGCTGGGAGAGATGGTTGGCCAACGCGGGCGCCTTCGACAGCCACTTCAGATGCATCGGACCCACGATCAAGGGCTACATCGCGCGAGCACTGGCGAGGAGATACTTGGACGGGCTGAAGCCCGAGGTGGCCGCCATGGCCCTGGCAGAGGAGTATTTCTGATTTTTACGTATATTATTTGTACGTATTTTATACGAACGCTCGATTGTACACTTTGTGATTGTGATGTGTAATTTTAAACGTTCTGTAACGATATGATCTTTTTTACTTGTGAATAAAAATTACGCGGTTCGATAATTTTATCTATAAACGCGGAATTTTTTCTATTAGGGAAACTTTATTAGGGTGAGGGAAACTTTACGATTTTTCGGGCGACGCATACGGCGCGCACACACGACTTTGACCTTTTTTTTTCTTGCTGGTCGCGGTGTATAAGGGAAGGTCGTCGGTGGGCACAATTTTCATGTTTCACGCGAGCATGTATGCGTATCCGAGTTTTATGAAAGGTTTTTACGATCTCGAAAATGCGTGAGCGACGCGTATGCCGTGGCTGTACGTCGTGTCATATTATATATCTATGCAAGATTTACGGAAATTTTTATTTGAAAAGAATGGCATACGGTAGTGGCGTATAGGTGGTGATGAAAAAAAAAAAAAAAAAAAAAGAAACCAAGAGAGGTTCGATAAGACGCGGTTATATGGGCCAAGCCGAGCCTATGATTCACCGCGTTCTCGAGCAGCAGCGCCGAGTATAATCGGTCGGGCGCATGTAATACATTTTTTTATTGTCGTGCGCTTTAACGGCCTGCCGAGTCGATGGCTTTTGTTTTTTTGCTTTCGTCTTTACTATGTTCTTTATTTCTTCTTTTTCGCTGCCGCAGTAACGAAACGTGGATATATCCAAAAAAGACGTCGACTCGCGTTATGGAATAATAAAAAAAAGTACGTATTTCGTTGCTCATGGAGGCAGCTTATTCTATATAACGGTAATTCGCGTGCACCGCGAGAGCACAATGGTCGTCGCGGCGTTCCGCGACGTGCCTCGAGTACCCGAAATTTTCCATTCTATTCAAATGGATACAACCCGCGCGCGCCACGCAATACAATCGAGACATCGGGAAAAATCATAATCCTCGATCTCCGCGAGCTTGTCCATAAACAAGCGCAGACAATGGTGGAAAAAAAATATCTACATAATACTGCTGCTACGGGCCATCGTTGGAATATTAATCAAAAGCGAATGGTGCATTATGATCGTCGCCTCTATATAGCCCCGGTCGATTTCCTGCACTTCCCCTGCAGATCTAATCGGCTCGTATCGTAAAATGTGCGCGCATTAACGTATTTAATTATTCGTATCGCGAACGATTCGCGATTGCGCTTTGGCACTTTGACGCTCGCTCGTAATAATTATACCTCGAGCGTGGAGTATATATATATCGTCGTAGATGAATATAAGGAGGTTGCATTGTGTGAGTCGCGCATTAAAAGAAAAAACAATTTTTTCTTTTCCTCTGTTTACGCATTATCGAGTACGACAACCTTTTGCAAAACGCGTCAATGAACCTTTTACGTATTATGTACGAGTGCTTGGTGGCGTTTGATTTTCTCCGTAGGTCTGCGCGGAGAGAAATACTGTATTGAATGACTTTTCACATTCGTTAGGCAAAAATTGTTATGTTTCACTGGGAAAGGAGTCACACACACATTGACCTACAGTAACAATTTTGAGATTCGTTAAGATTAGTATTTCAAAATGCGTATTGTATTGTCAACACGATTTATCATCAGAGCTTTTTGAATACATCAACAGATGGAGTACTGTAAATCCACAAGTGGCAAAACAACGTTTTGGTAGGTATAAATAACAATTTTTCGAAGATTCTTCCTCACTTTGAATAGCCATAATACGGAAATATTGTATTATAATTTGTCAAAAATTGTTATGAACATATCAAAAATGGCGAGGAAAAAATGACTTCACACCAACTGCCGGTATAATTCTGTGAAATTTCTGAAATTCTCTGGAAGAAAAATGCGCTTCATATCGCCGGGTGTCGTAAAACCCCAAATTTTCACGCGGCACGAAAAAAAGTCAACTGCCACGGGGGAAATTTTTTTCGTAGTAACGAGAAAATTTCAGTTATCATTCTCCCCACGACGCGAAACACATTTTTCCGGTTAACGAACCGACGAATTCCACTCAGCGCGCAGTCGGCACGCACGATCGGCTCGAGAAAGGGACATTTCTAAAAATATATATATTAATAACAACCAGAGACCTAGTTCTTCAATAGGCTGCGCTCTCGTGTGCACGGAATCCATTGGTCAGAAAACACTCGTTCTTTCCGCTTTTCATCTGTTACCATAAATTTTTATATTACGCTCGGCGCAAAGAACACGATAATAAATATACACCACAAGTGGCCTCGGCTCTCGTATAGACTCGCTGCACACTGCAACCTCTTTTTTTTCTTTTCCTCGACTAGCGTCGCTCGCTTGAGCTTTCTCTCTCTTTTCTCGAGCGAGTTTCTTCGTTATCGTCGCGCGTTTTCTCGTCTTCGTTGTGTATATAATGCACATACGCAGCGGCGCAAGAAAAATCCAATGCGTCACGAGGCGCTTGATGTATAGCGTGCAAGAACGGCTAGGCAAGTATGTACCGAGCTTTTACGCAGCAGCTGCTTTCTCGAGTGTTCGTTGATGTATGAAACATTTTTTTTTACGTTACTCAAATTAATAACAACGAAAATTCGATCGTGCAGCATAAAGGATTGAAAATTTTCAGATGAGTTTTCCGACATCTGTTCTACATATTTTTCTCAAAAGCTGTACGTTCGTTTCTGGAGAACAACGAAGCAAATTTTCATTCTTCCTCGCGGAAACCTCTTAAATATTGAAATTATGCGCATTTCGTTAGATCGACGTATCATGAAACCCTGTTGTATGCAATTTTACAACGCCCGCCGCTCGGGCGCTGGAGTAAACTATGATTACAAAATGAGGGGGGAAAAAAAATCATAAAATAAAGAAATGCGGGCAGAAAGAGAGAGAGAGAGAGAAGAGAAAAGAAGTTACGCGCTCGAGCGAAGTTTTATACCGCGCAGGCAGCAGGCAGGCAAGCTTTCTCGCAGAAATGAAGTTGCCCCGCGCACTTCCACGTTGTTGTAACTCGTTCGCTCGCGGAAAAGTCGGAAGTAAATTGCGTGAAGTATTACGAACTCTGACACACCCGCAGAAACACGCACACAAATACAAGTGGGGGTTTGTATATACGCAGATGTATATTTAAACGCAAAATGTTGCAGCGGGTGGGTGAGGAAAAGGGCGCACACAGTAGTTACGTGCATAAATCGTAGCTTGCCAAGTCGTTTTCTCGCGCAACGACATTTTTACGTGTAAAAGTATGCGGCTCCGTTGGAATGCGTGCGTTTTTCCGGTATTTATACTGTGGTAAGACAGGTATATAAGGAGAGTCCAGTCTCTCTCTCGGTTACCGAATGTCGGCCTTGACCTCCTTCGATAATAGATTCGTTCATCGTTCGCGCGTATATAAATATAATACAATAACCAAAGGAGCGCACAAGAAATCGCGTCGATCGACCAAATATACAAGGAGAAACAAAAAGACGCGTACGAGACAACGAGCCGGAACGACGACGATTCACGCCGGTGTAATGGATGCAGACGCGTAACGCCGTAATAAGCGCGCGGAAGATGCAACTCTGGCCGAAAGTGCGCTCGTAAAGGGTCAATTGATTGATCGGCGCAAAACGCATTTACCGAGTACTTGCGACGCGTAATACACGCGCGGCGGCGGCGGCGGCTGCTGCTGCATACGCAAGAAAGGAAAAGAATAATCAGAAGAAGAAAACAACCGACGACGACGACGGAGAACAAATGGCAATTATTACGCGGCGCGAGGCGCAAGTATTGCACAAGTCTCTCTCTCTCTTTTGGTGCGTAATGTAATATATATTATCTGCTGCATCGGGCATTATTACACACGCACACGCACACGCACACGCACACGCGAGACGCGCTATAATCTCATTTATTTTGTGTACGAGGCAAAAAGAGAGAAAGACAAGACGAGAAAGGGATGATTGCTTCAATTGAAAAATGACACTTGTTACGAGCAGAGTGTGCGATATATATAATATACGTGCGAGGCGTATACACACAGCGATCGCATCGTTGCGCTTGGTACACGACTCGAGAGCCGATTCGGAGTTTTATCTCGGAGTTTCTCTCACGCGCCGGCCCGAGAATAAAAGTACCCGTTGCTAGATATGTATTTTTTTCATCTATACTTGTGTAGGAATGCTAAAAATCGTATGTCAAGTTTTTTTACTGATGAAAAAGTTTCTTGAACATGAAATAAAAGGGCAACGATAACTGGACATGCACTTACCAAAAAGGTAATATGACAATACCATAAGGGTACATTTTTTCAACTTTTATGGCCATACGATGCTCCACCGTATAATAGTTGCGTAAATTACCCTTATCTGGAGATTTCCAAAGACAGATAATTAAAGTTGTATTGAAACTGCGTTTGACTTATACTGTAATTTTTACTTTGCCACTTGCAGATTTAAAGAATTAAGGCACTCGCCATCTAGTGGTAAGGACTAGAAGTGTTATCGTCGTCTACGAAGTCGTTAAAAACTGGTCTACATTTTGTAAAAACGATGCAATTGTTATAGTGCAATAATTTATTTTAAAGCAATTCAAACGGTCATTTTTCGGTTAATAGGACATTAATAATGTTCACTTTTTTTTTACCAAAATAATAATTTCTTATATTGGTCAAACCTAACCGTGCGAGCGCGCGTCGACGATAGAAAGGCAGAAAGAAAAACAGATTATAGAGAAGAGCATAGAAGAAGACGCAGCAAAAAAAAAACAGAAAAAGAAGACAGCTTACAAAACGAATAACGCGCATTTGTAATTGTGAAATTTGATGTAGCAACGTGAGAGGCTCTCTCGTGCGCGCGGCTATCGCCGTCGATGCACACACACACACACACACGTATAAACAGACACGCGGTCGCGTCGTCGTCGTCATTGGCTACTCTCTCGCGAACTACTACATTAATTGCAAAGTCTTGTGCAAGTTGCCACTAGTAGTATTATACACAGCACGCGGTTATATGCGTACTAAAAGAAAACATTTATCATATCATTCGATTGAACCGAGAAAAGAGAGAGAGAGAAAAAAATACGAAGAAAATTAACGTTAATGCCTCTTTGATATATATTTTACTATTAACGACGAGATGCGCTCGACTCCG